GATGTTCTTGTACCTGATGACCACAGTGATACACCTTTTTTTGGCCAACAGTCTCCAGCAGCAGCTGGAGACACAAGTTACTCCTACAATGCACTCAACATTGTTTATTTCAACGCACGAAGCCCACTGCCTAAACTTGATGAACTGAAATGTATAGCTGCTGCAGAATCACCTGATGTAATTAACCCTCGGCGCGCATACGCAGCGAGGGTTACAGTAGTTGGGTCTGTCTGTCTGTCTGTCTGTCTGTCTGTTAGTCTGTCAGTTACTCTTCATCTCACTTCTCGAGCGTTCTTTCGTCTCACAAAGGATACCACCTACTGAACGGGCAATGAAGGTCAGAAATTTCGAACGGTTTTCTCTGAAAACGCTCCGTTGCAAAGCTAGAGCGGGAAAAAGCCAATATGCAAATACACAACGGCTTACTACGGCATGATCGATCTGCGTGCTCTGCTTACCTCGGAGGCACCAGAAGATGCAACGCAGGGCGTGTATCGCCTCTCGCATGCTATCTAGTAGTGTAGTTAGCCCGCGTAAGACTCTGCGCGAGCTGGCAAGAGACCTCGAGTAACAGCTAAAACTAAACCCAGCCCATCAATTAGTGGTACTGCGCATGCGTTTACTTACGCGCGCGCGTCACAGTGCGCCGAGGGTTTGCACTTCAGTGCTTTTCATTTGTATTGTAGAAACATGGTTGTGTGGTGCTGTTTGTAAGAATGAACTACCAATAACAGATTATCAAATTTTTCGTCGCGACAGGGATCGTCATGGTCGTGGAATTTTCTTTAGCTGCTGATCTGCATCTCTGTGCCACCGATATTGAGTTGCTTATTATTTCTGTAGCTCAACACAGTTAAAGAGTGTGTTGTAAATAATTGGAGTCTGTAGATTCAGGGTGATAACAGTGCTCCCCAGACTTTTTTCAACACCAACTGATGCAAAAAAGCTGAGAGATACACTACTTCTGATATTTAGAATCATATTCAGAAGCACACAGTTTCGGTGCAAGCTGAAACATAGACAACTACATGCCTGTGACTAATGCTAGAACACAGACAGCGATGGTTCAAATGATAGCGGAACTTTAACTGTCTGATCAAGAGAAACTCATTAAAGAGAAACTGTCTTTAATTGCAAGTAATTTTGGCATACATCTTCTTTGTGATTATTAACCTTCGGTGCGCATGAGCGGTGAGGGTTACGGTACTTGGTCTGTGTGTGTGTGTGTCTGTCTGCCTGTCAGCAGCTATTCTCGCACTACAGGCTACGAGGCGGCCCATGAGCGATACCAACGTCTTCAGATGATGTGGTGCTGAAAGATTTTTTTATTTGAAGAGGGAAGGCATCAGTGACGCTGAGCTAATCGATTGATTACCTCTTCGTGTACGTAGAGTTCTTGATGGATACTCCTTTGATCCCTAGTAGGTTTTACACCACTGGTAATCTCATCAGAGAAATACGCACAATATTGACTAACAGGCAACGCACAAGACACCGGTGGAAAACTTGAGATCGCTTGTTTCTCAGTTGCAGAATAGTCACGACGTTGCAGAATGGGAAAAGGTTTGCATCCTTTTATGTATGATGTATCACGAAGTTCACTCAACCTCACACGGCCCATGACGAGACCCATGTTCTCAAGGTAGTAAGGCAACAGAACACATACGTAAATGATAATGTTTGCAGCTATGCACATACTGTGGTTTGCTTTGTATTTTGCTTGCCGGCTGAGCTCCTCAGCGCTCTGCCTAAAAACAACGTGAGTTTAAGTCCAATCTCAATGAAAAGTACTAAAGTGTGCGATGCCGCTAATGATGGGTTGGCGAAGATATGGCGTTTACTCTCGTGTCTCCACGCTAGTAGCTGGAAGGAGAGTCTGACACGGCTAGCTACACAAGTAGATAGCGAGCGGTAGTCACACACGCCTTAGTTGTGATTTCTGAGCCTACACGTATATACACAGAGCGAGAAGCCCAGTGGGGTATGCATATTGGCTTTTCACGTGTTTCCACAGCATATCTCTCGAACGCAGTTGTTTCAGGAAAATTGCTGTTTTACTTTTCAGGCTCACGTAGTTCAGAAGCTGATGGTATCGCTCTTAGGCCGCCTCGCAGCCTGTAGTGCCAGAATAAGCGTCGACAGACATACAGACAAAGTACAAAGGACGGAGATTCCCGATATAGAGAGAAACACCGTCCGTTTCGCCAGAATCACTGTTATCATGTACATGGTTATGTCGTTGCACTGTCACAATTGTCTTGTATCAGTCTTGTAGTCGTCTGTTCATGGTTACACAGTTGTACTCACCATGTCCCTTGTGGTTCCACTGTGTCTACAAAGACTGTACACTGTATTGAAAGATTTATCCTATTTTCCCGTGGCTAAGCCAAGATTCTACACGGTGGCGGCGGTGGCTCGTGCAAAAGAAGATGCCCCAGCTCCAGCTGAAACCTCCGGACCCGTTCAACTTCAGAACCCCGGACGACTGGCCACGCTGGCACAGATGTTACGAAATTCCACATCGCATCGGGTCTGGAAGATGCCGATGACGTTCAGCAAGTAAACACTCTTTTCTACTGCATCGGAGAGGATACAGAATCCGTTTTATCTTCAACTGGTATCACCGCGGATGAGAGGAAGTGATACAAAACTGTTATAGAAAAATTCTAGGAGTTCTTCATGGTGCGGCGAAATGTAATATTCGAAAGAGCATTATTCAATCAGAATGAGGGGGAAACTGCCGAAAACTATATCACAGAATTGTACAAGCTGGGAGCATTGTAACTTTGGGAAATGCGAGACGACTTGTGATGATCACCAAGGAGGATGGGACCTTGGGAACTCACCTGCTTCTAGTTCACTCACGACTTCGAACATAGTTTAGCCATCTTCCAGAACAATAGAATCCTAATCGCACATTAGGCAGATCTGATCAGAAGCTCAAAAAATGCTTCTTAAACAACAAGTCAATATTGACCGGGAATAAAGGAATCTGTAATAGGTTTCTATTATTTGGAGGGTTGGCGTAAAATCTATATTTGTGCTATATACTATGTCACATATCAGAGGTTTTATTGGCGAGCGGAAGAGAGCAAACCTAGGTGTACAACTGGCGATGCCATACAGCGTTGTATGTTTGTCTGTCGGCATACACAACATAATGTTTACATCATTATAAATACGTTAAAAATATGTTAATTAACGCAGTGTTTCCCGCAGCATTATAACTACTGGGCGCTCCGCCCGGATTGAAAAAGCCTGAAATGGGCGTGTACAATTATTGCACATGCGTAAAATGCTATTACACTGTGCACAGTTGCTCAGGGTATAGAGTAGCACTTGAAAGGCTTTAGGCCAGTAGGGGATTTCCCAACAGGAAGTGCTTTGAAACTTGAGTAGCAAGCAATGTTTTTAAGCGAGAAAGCTGAGGTAATTCATAATTCATAAGCACCCTGTTTGAGTATTACCCCTGCGGGAAACACTGAATTAACATGCACATGCGATGCTGCGAGCCACGTGACTCAAAGTCTATGTATCTCGTCTTCTCCCTGAAAGCAACGATCTCCAAAGGCAAGCAATAAATCGCATCTGAGTGCAGACTAGGTAGACATCAGCATTATTGTATCCAAGAGAGGGAAAGAAACCTTAAGACAGTGTCTTCCAGTGGAAGAGTGAGAGACACGTCTGCCCTGCAGATAGAGCTCGGTGAAGATAAAGTCTTGCTTCCGAGACAGCGGAAGAATGACAGACACGTCTACCTGCAGGAAGAGCTCAGCAAAGACATATTGCTTTGGAGAAAGCGGAAGAATGATAGACACGTCTAGCTACAGGAAGAGCTTGGCGAAGACGTCTTGCTTTGGAGAAAGGGCAAGACACGTCTAGCTGCAGGAGTCCGGAGGACCCAACTTTATGCTTTATAGACAGTGGAAGAACGAGAGACAGGTTTAGCTCGCAGAGGAGACGTCTTGCCATCGGTCTTGCCTCCGAGACAGGGGAAGACATGATTACTTTGCGGAAGCACCTTTCCACGTCTATGGACAACTTGGCTTGCTCCTACTCCACAAAAATACACATCGTTCACCTAAAATAACTGTTGGTCAAAGGTATTCACATATAGCAAACATTTACTTACAGAAACACCAATGCACCAACCTTGGTCTACGTCTGTATTACATAAACTCTAGTATGAAAAACCCCAATTTTACTCTGGGACAACTGTAAAATGCTGCATAGAATGTAGCTTTAACACATTCTTACTCAGGTCAGAGTCCAATGCATAATATACACACATCAACACAATAATAAGATATACTGTTTTAGTGCATTTAAAGACCTAATGATGACCTTCACTGATGCATTAAAGCTGCATTGTAACTGTTTGCTGTTTGTTACACTATACAAACCTGGTATATCATCAGACATCCTGACCGGCTCTTCCTTCATCCACACTCCCCCTTGCCTCAGGAACTCATCTGTAAACATGTAGTTTCAATCTCCAGCATCAAAAACAGGTACACTACCTCCCACATGACGCAAACAAGCACTTTATGAAAAGCACTAAAGTACAAACCTCCAGTGCAAAGCATGCACATGCATGGTACGCTAAATGATGGGCTGGGCTATGAATATGTGTTCACTCCTGGTCTCCACGCAAGAAGCTCACGGGGAGTCTGACACTGGCTAGCTACACTATAGTGATAGCGTGCGGGAGTCGATACATGCCCTTTGTTGTGCCTTCTTGTGCTTCCAAGGGAGCAAGTGGATCAGGTCGAGCCCAGTGCGATAAGCCCAGTGCGATTATGCATATCGCTTGTTTTCACGGCACATATGTCAAATGCAGTAGTTTCGGGGATTTCAGTTTTCAGGCTTGCGCAGTTCTGAATCCGTTGGTATCGTTTAGGGGCCGCCTGGTAGCATGAAAAGTATATTTATAGCATACTAGCGACAGAGAATAGAAAAGAAAGAAAACCAGAAGTCACCCTCCACTCCCCATCCTCCACCCAAGTACATATACAGACACAAACAACACAGTTGCACACAACAAGGTAGGACACCAGGTTCCCAGCCTTGAGAACTGGAGCGGTGGGTTGTACAAACAAACACACACACAGACTGACAAATAGACTACGTATACTGTAACCCTCGCTGCGCATGCGCACCTAGGGTTAACGATGGAGGAATGCGGAAATCACAGATCACCGGAATTCCCCCAATATGGTCGCGGTAACAATTATGTAAAATCGTGTGACTAATAAGTACGTATTGATTGCACATGGAATCAATTTTCTTTCCACACGTGCTTCTTCTTGTAAGTGGCTGTAATATATGTTGGCTTTTTCCCTCCTTTTTTCCTAGTCTTGCAAAGCAAGCCCCTCCCTCTCCTTCGTTAGAGAAGGGCTGGCTCCGCAAGACTACTTTTCCCAACTACCACTTCTTTCATCCTCATTTTGTCATGATAAGCCGTCCACACGCAATCAGTTGAAGGGGTACATTCAGAAATTTATATACTAAAGATGGCACGCAATAGGGCCCATTGTTTTTATGCTGAATCATTTTCGCTGTGCACCGAGTGAATGTCCTTATGCATTACGCAAAATATGTGTAGCTTGCGCTAGGGGGTGGCCCTACACACGTTCATGGAACTAGAGGCACGGAGCATGGTCAATCACGCAGGTTCAGAACAAAATGAAAAGCACTAAAGTGCAAACCCTCGGCGAACTGCGCATGCGCGGTACCGCTAAATTGATGGGCTGGGCTATTTGTAGTATGCGTTTACTCGCTAGTAGCTCGCGGAGAGTCGGACACGGCTAGCTACAGTAGTAGATAGCATGCGGGAGTCGATACACGCCCTTCGTTGTGACTTCTTGTGCCTCCAAGATACACAGAGCAAGCGGACCCGGTCGAGGTAAGCCTGTGGTAATTAGCATATTGGCTTGTTCACTTGCTTTTCACGCCAGAACTTTAGAACGCAGTATTTTTACGAAAATCGCCATTATTAAAATGAAGCCAGTGTAGCGCTGAACCTGTTGGTGTCGCTTTTTGGCCGGTTTGTTGCGCGTGGTGGCAGAAAACGTGGTAACAGACACACACACAGACAGAAAGACAGACACACAGAACGACTACCGTAACCCTCGCTGCGCATGCGCGCCGAGGGTAATGAAACTACACTACAGTAGCATTCCAGTTAGCCATAAACACTCGGTCATGCCCGCTTATGTCTAACACTAATGCCACGCCCACTTTTGACCCAAGAGACTAGTCTGGTGCCCAGACCCTTCACAAAATATATGCGCACGCGTAAACGCATGTGGGAGGGAGGGAGAGAAGGGTCTGGTAAATAACTATGCCTCTCCACAGGCCAAGGAATTTCAGCAACCACTAAATAATATAGAGTGGTTGAGGTTACACCCAACTGCGATGAATAATATTATTCGCTATAATACTAACGTGCGTGCGTGCACACATGTAGACCCTACTTTTTTTTAACGGATGGACGGTACTTGCAGAGCCTGCGGAGCAAGCCCGCTTGACTCAAAAGCTCGTAGATCCCTGCAAGACTTGCCAAAACGGTAGGAAGACTCACAGAAACATTATTTTCAGTCACACAAACGAGCTTATTACATGGCGCTGTAGAGGCTTGAGTGACTGCAAACCAACTGCTTCCACAGCCTTGTCGATCACTTGCTCTAGCTAAAAAGTGACATTCGCACACTCGCAGCGTTATATTATATCCGGACCCTGTGCGGTTAGTAATTGCATACCAACACCTTTTCCAGCATTCCAGCGTTGGCCTGTGGAGAGGCATAGTTATTCTCTCCCTCCCTCGCGCATGCGATTACGCGTGCGCATATATTAATTGTGAAGGGTATGGACTTAATAAGATCGCAGCTATTTTCTCATCACCAACACTGTGGTATCCCAACCTTTTAGATCCATAGCAAGCCGATGCGTGTGCCCTTTGCTGCATATATTCACGAAGGTCTGGAACACGCTCTCCCCTCCGTGCCCCATAACCAAGTCTAGCAGCTCGTCCCGTCGGTGCTCTTTGGAAACCGTTTCATCCTTAGCAGCTACTCTTTCCCCCTCTCCAACGATTCCAGCCGCAAACAGCTCCTCTGCTAACCAGACAGGATCAAACTTTGACTCCTTTATCTTGGCCAAATTGGCCCGAAAGACGCGGCGGGCTCGACCCTCCATAACCCTGCTAACATCGAAAGCAGGGTGTGGCTCTGAAGGAGGAAGATGATCTAGCTACACATATGTAACAATAGACGCACAACCGCGCGCTAATTGCTGTGGCGCCGGCGCAGGGGCGTGGCTACAAATTTCCGGGTTAGGGCGGCGTCGGCGTGCCAACACACAACTTGATTCCGGATTTCCCTTGATTTCCCTTGATTTCCAACAGATTTCTATGGTTTTCTGACCATAAGCGTACGAGATTTCAACCCGTGTCGTACCCCTCGCTGTAAGCATTGTCAGCACTTGCTGCGTTTTTGGCTGCCACAAGCGGGGAGGCCGTGATAAAGGCACGTCTTTCTTCTTGGTATATACCTTCCGTAATAAAGGATCAAGGTGACAAAACCAAAGAATTATCAGAAAAACGACGTGGGCTCACGAGGGTTTAACAGGAAGGACTGGGTACCGTCTAAGCATTCTCGAGTATGTTGAGAGCATTTCATATCTGGTGAGTTTCCTATAGACCAGTTTTTAGATTAAATCTACCAATATTTATAGGTAGACCTGCCCTACTGTATGACACAACCAACCCTGACTGGGTTCATAGCCAGAAGATGGGGTACACTCTAGGGGGTACTCCTGATTTGGAACGATATACTCGTGTGGAGCGAAGAAGGGAAAACGACGAAGAGGTATATACATGCTGGTAGCAATGACGATGGAGCAAGCACTTCAGTTACAGCTACAGCAAGCACTACAGTAGATGCTGAAAGCCAGACATGTAGTGATTTTATGAATGAATGCAAGAAAACAAAGGATGAGCTACAAAAAAAATCGAGATTTTGGCTCTGAAGTTGCTGATCTAAGAAAAACTGTTGATAGTCTCTCTCTCGGCTAGCAATTCAGAGAAGCTGAATTTCTATACAGGTAATATTTGAGTATGAGTGCAGGAATGTGTATGCTTAAGCGATATATAGACGTACTTACATAATTAAACACATTTTGTTTTTCTGATGTACAGGTATTCCAGAGTGGTGCATCTTCCAGGCTATCCTCAATTTGGTCGAACCAGCATTGCCGGATGGTGTTAAGCTATCTAAGTTTTCAGTGGTGTGTTCTTCTTGAAGATCAGATTGAATCTGTTTGACGAAGATATAGGTGATCGCTTTGGTGTCCACAAGTCCACTGTTTCGAGAAACTTTCACCGTGTCTTGGACATTATGGCGGTTAAAACTGCCCATTTAATCAAGTGGCCTGATAGAGAGACAGTGCAGCAGACAATGGCAGTTGCTTTTCGAAAATTCTTCAAAAATGTTGGACTGCTCAGAAGTTTTTGTTGAACGTCCCACGGATCTGCGTGCTAGGGCACAAATGTGAAAACACCGCTCACATTTTTGATAGGCGTTACACCACAGGGACCTATGTGTCTCGTTGTATGGGTGTGCGCATGCCTGACAAAGAGATTGCGGAACAGTCCTCACTTCTGAATTACCTTCTTCCTGGTAAATGCTAGTACTGATATTGATTATACATGTATAATCATTTTATAGGAGACATTATTTTGGCTGATAGAGGTTTTACCTGTGATGAATAGGCCAGAATGGCTATGGCAGAAGTAAAAATACCACCCTTCACTAAAGGAAGAAAGCAACTGGAGAAAGTTGATGTAGATTGGAGCAGAGAATTATCCATTGTAAGGATTCACGCTGAACGTGTAATAGGCATTCTAAAGCAAAAGTACACTATCCTCGAAAACATTATACCTATTTCACTGCTACCAGATTCCAAAGACACTACATCGACTATTCACAACATAGTAAGAGTTTGTTGTGCATGTGTAAACCTCTGCCCATCTGTAGTTCCTCAAGAGTAACAACGTTCAACTTTTGTTTGTGAAAATTTTTTGTGTGTAAACTATATACTAATGATACACATGACTGTACTCAACATGACTATACTCCATTTCTTTTGTTACTAAATTTTGGAAGTTTGTGACACGAAGGGCAGTACCACTTTCCTGTCGGTGGACATCGAATCCTAATACAGTCAAAATGATTTTAGCCTAGTACCTAGCTTGAGACTCTGCTCAGAGACTCATAAAGTATTCCGACTTCGTCACCAACGCCATTATTTTACACATGGGCATGCGGCAAACGCGGAGCAATTGCCCTCCAACATGGTGGATAGCAACCGTCGCTAAGGGCCACACCGCACAACCCCTTTATTTACCATTGTAAACCGACGGAAGGGTTGATTTAAGGACACTGAAGGGTTGGGATTTACATTAGACAGGAAAAGGTGGGGATCTCCACAGAAAAGAGAGGGATTAACCATGGCGCGAATCGATGGAAAGGTTGGGATTTACAGTGAAGTGGTGAAAGGAGGGGATTTAGTAAACATCCCTTGTTGAGCGTCAAAAGAGAGGAGATTTTTTTAGTAATAACCCGCATTGAGGGGTCCGATACGAGCCATTATGATGCATGAGATTTCTAAAAGCCGTGATTTCTAACTGATTTCTTGCAATTGATTTCTTACTGGTTTCCAAATTTCCACGTGATATTTCAACTAACATTTTCTAATTTCCATGATTTCAAGAGATTTCCAGATTTCCACTGATTTTTTCTATTCATTTCTCGGTCTCTTCTTTAACTGTACACTCCCTCAAGAGGAGTTCCCTTACTGGCATTAATCCTAACGTATTAAACTCAATTTACACTGGCCACCCTGCCCGGATTGCCTATATATATATATAAATTAGCCAAGAAACAGTACAGAACTCACATCTCATAAGAAACTCTCTGATGAAACTTTTTATAACTCTCTCAACCTAGAACTCGACTCTCGCATATTCTTACAAGCCATTTCGGAAACCACAACCTCTATTTTTTCCCACCAAACCCGATACTAAACGCATCACAGTAGATTGTACAGTGTATGAGGACCCTCTTATTCTTGAAGGATGGGCTCTCCACTTCCAATCCCTGGGCAGATCCAGCACACCTCCCTCTATTGATTCAGGCTGTCAAGCAGATATCTTCAACCTTTTCCGGAACCTCCCTGATCCTGAGCCTGACCTGATCGACTCCGTCGATGTCAGAAATGTAGTATCATCCTTCCCCCTAAAGGGAAAGTTAGTGGCCCTGATAACCTCTGCAATGAACATCTACATACTATTCGCCCATCCACTGTATTTGATATTCTCGCTATATACCATCTCAATACAATACTCTTGTCAGGTCATGTACCATCCTCCTTCCAACATGGCTGATTGTTCCCATCCCTAAGAAGAGGGGGTCTGAATTATCAAACCCCTCCAATTTCGCGGCATCACACTTCTCTCCACCACCAGTAAAGTGTTTAAGAAACTTATCCTAAACCGACTGCCATCTCTTGCACCTCAAATCCATCCCCTGGCCCAAGATGAGCTGTATGCATACAACTCTTGTATTACAAGAGGTGATTCGACATGATCGCAATCAGAGGCAGAAGGCATTCCTGGCATTCCTTGATGTGAAGAAGGCATTCAACACTGTCTGACATAATGGCGGGCCTTCTTCTGAAGCTTGGTCTACCGATAACATCTGGATCATCATCCGTAACTGGTATCGCCGAAGCACCTCGACCGCTCGCGCACACACACAGCCACCACGCAACCGAGGGGTGAGTGAAGAGACAAAGTATCATGATAGGTCTACCTAGATTTGTTCTCTGCTCAGTGTATATAGGAAAGTCTGTACACAGATCTCCAGTAGCAGAGATGATGCTGTCATAGTTTATGTTGTGGATTTAGCACAACAGCTCAAAGTGAGTTGGAGGGGGAATGTCTTCTAGTGGGCTTCATTGCTGCCGGAGAAGTGCTACAGTGCAAACTGTACTGTGCCTCTACCACTGAGCAGCAGTAGAATGTCGGTATGTTTAACCAGGTGCTATGGCTAGAATCTCGTCGTGTGTGCCGAAGATACCTAGCATCCGAATGTGTTGGATGTGTTCTGCCATAGTTGCTTTATTTAAAGGCACTTTCGTTGATGTTTTCAAACCATTATAGTAGCAATGCGCACAGAAATGTGCTCATCATCGGAAATAATTGAAAGGAAAACACTTCTAAAGAGACAGTTTCCATCACCATGAGAGGGTTCACTTTCCTGTGTTGATGTTGTAGATATCACCTGTATGGATAATGGACTTCAGGCCAAGCCAAGCTGGTTAGGTGGCTGGTTATCTAGTGTCGCCAAGTGTTATGCCAGTTGATGTAGAGAGTTGTGCTTTGGGGGTTGACACATAAGTAAGAGTAGGTTGTAATCATCTTTTATTTTTGATTGGTTCACATGGTCTGCCCCAGTTGCCTGTGGTATAATAGATGCCGAAATATATTCCTAATGCTATCTATCAAATTAGCTACTTACATTCCAGTACATGTCTTCTGCATGCATCCTCCTTCTTGCAGCGAGGGACCACCAAAACACCGCATAGCTATAATACACTTGCCACAATCTGCTGCAAGGCATCCATCACACTGTCCACACCTTTTCCTCTGCTAAGGTCTAATAAAAGAGAGTTAAAGCACAATTTTAAAAATATATATATGACATTTTTCCGCTTTTTCCCTACACTGTCGGTAGTCTTCTTAAACTGTGATTGAGTCACTCTTTTCAGCTGGAGCAAACTTTCGACTATGGTGAGAGACTGATTCTCATCTGTGATCAGGATCAGTGAATGCATCAGCTGCATCAGCTGCATGAGCTTGCCAGAATAGAGAGAGAGAGAGTAGGAACAGCATGATCAAGCATATTATGGGGTCGTTGATTATTCTAGACAATTTCAGCACCCACTCTATCTCACTTTCCACTGTTGATTGTTTAGCATGGACAACAGATTCTGAATAAACTTATTCCATAGCACATTCATTAAATTACGTGTGAATATCGTACCCAAGTGATTGTTGCTATTGGTTGGTGGCTTGAATATGAATGGTTCAGGTTGTAGACTGGGGTCTGAATTTTCATCTTCTCCATAGGCCACAGCTTTCACTTCGTGACAATGTTTGTAAAGGTGCCCTTCTTGGTAGCTAGTGCCAACAGGTACACTTAATGAGATGTCTGCACAAGTAAACACATTCAGATTCTGTGTATCGAGGGACACATCTCTGCTCTGGGCATTGCTGGTCAGACACCATCACTTGATATGTTGGTACACCATCTGACGCTTTAACGATCCATTATTCTGTTTATAGCAAAGACATTGACATTTTTATGGTGCTTTTTATGAACCACTGACCTACACAAAGGTGCTGTCATTATTGATACCACTACTTTGCCTATCTCCCTCTAGCTTCAATGAGGCATCTGAATGTAAATTAAAAATCCTGCGAATTTAAGAAAAGAGGCATAATGATGGTATAAAAAGAAAGGGAGACAAGATAGGGATGGGATACATGAAACATGGTCAACGAACATATTGAGCATGCTGACACCCCCAATCCCATCACACAATCCCTATATTGTTGTTGGAAGGTTACTAAAAGCAAGCATTCCGTCACCGTGTCCACTACTGTTTTTACTGCCGCATTCCCTTTAAATAATCTCCACTTCGACTCTATAACAGTGTTGGTTACTCAGTAGCATGACTTTTCTATTATGAGTATTGTAATGGTGGATGTTTAATATTTCACCTAGGCATTCATTACCTTAGTTAAAAGGAGATAGGAAACAAATTACACCATTTTTATTTAATCAGTCTATGTAATTCACCTGTTTGGTTCTTTGAGCCATGTAGGTGTCACACTCAAACTTCAGCAAGATATGAATAAGGTCGTCAAGTCGGCAGTTAGGCTTATGATTGAGACACCGTGGGTTATTCTTCAATTTATTGTGGAAACTATGTTTGCAATGTTTAGTACATAGCTCATAATAAAAATTTTAGCTTACCTCTCTACAAGCATGTTTGTATCAACACCACTATAGTCAAAGTGTTGGTAGCAAAGGGTCCACTTCTCTGCATTAATATTGGGTTTTTACGTGTATTCTTCTTTATTATAGGCATTACCTGAGTGACTTACTATATGCAGTTTGAAAATATTCTCCGAATTTAGATTCGTCTTCACGGAATGTGCTGCAATCGCTGGACTTATACTCATCTGAACCACAGTAACCAAGTCGAACCCATACGGATTGGTCTTGTGACTAGTAGAAAGCTATCTTCACTGAGGGCCTGGGTACATTTCATCTATTTTTCCTTGAGGCTTGTAGGCTATGGTAGGACTATCCTCTTCATTTTGTAACTCCTTACAGAGGCGATCCACAGACAGAGCATCATTGTTGTGACGGTGGTTGACAAGTGTTCGCAGAATATTACATGCGTCTTGCCTAGTGATGAAGGTGGCCCATGTTGCTATGGGGAGAAAGTTATCACGATTTTCTCTATTCACAAAGGGACCTCTAATTTCTGTTTAGAATTAGGAAATGTCGGTTTGTGTAACAATTTGCTATCCAAAATGGAGCCCAGCTTAACATTTTGCCCACACTTCTCCCAAACTTCTTCTCTCACAGCATTGGGAAGAGGTATGTGTTTAACTTCAGCTATTCCAGGTGTATGATTTGTATGAGTACGAATTAATGTACTGGGCAAACACGTTTCCACTTCTCTCCTTTAGAGTGGTAATTCTAGAGAGGCAATACTCTTCAAATATGTGTGATCCACGCCGCTTCCGGGTTTGGAAGCTTTTCTTTTAGCAATGATTTTCCTTTGCCCCTCTGCCCCGGCAACAGGTGTAGTTTCCCCTTCTGCAGTGATTTAACCCTTTAAAGCAATGTAATAAAGTAGCATAATTACCTTCATCTACTTTCCTTACTTCCATTCGTTTTGTGTAGCATGTGAATGTTTCCGTCTCCTCTCTCTCTTTCCATTGCAGGAAGGCACTCCAGTCTGGTTGTCCATTACTGATTGGATGAAAAGCACTAAAGTGCAAACCCTTGGTGCAAAATTTGCACGTTTGTAGTTTTGTAATGTGGCCTAACATAGGCTAGTCTACATCTCAGTGGGTAGTGGGTCTTGTCGCTTTATTGCTCGTGATATTATTATTGTTCTTCCTCTGAAGCCAGTGTTATCACTCATAGGTCACCTCGAGCCTGTAAGGATGCGGCAGGAATATTTGGCCGTGAGTACATGCAGCTCCGCACCTGCTGCCTTGCATTTGCTTACAATAGCGTCCAAGCGAAAGTTCGTTTCCAATTTTCAGAAATACTCACCACTTTATGTCATTTTGCAAACTATCCAAAATTTTAACAACTGGATGAAACTTGATAGGCATTATTACACTCAGCGTGCATGCGCAGCGAGGGTACGGTAGTTGGGTCTGTGTGTCTGTCTGTCTGTCTGTTGCTCTACATCTCACTTCTCGAGTGTTTGTTCGTCTCACAAAGGATATGACCGACTTAACGGGCAATGAAGGTCAGAACAGCCTTGCGGTTTGTTGGTCTTTCACCAGTACAAAAGAAGCAGCTGGATAAGCACCCTGTCTTTTTTCAAGATTGTCAGATAAAAGTCAATTCGGCATTCAAACTAATTCGACATTGTTCTCAAGGGGTGCACAAACATTTGCTCATCTGACAAACATTTTTCAGTTTCACAATATCACTACAAAGTGGTACAATACCAGAAATACCCGTGTATCGCCTCTCTCGTGCTATCTAGTGGTGTAGTTGCCCGCGTCAGACTCTGCGCGAGCTGGCAAGAGACCACGAGTAACAGCTAAAACTAAACCCAGCCCATCAATTAGTGTTACGGCGCATGCGTTTACTTTCGCGTATATACGCGTCACAATGCGCCGGGGGTTTGCACTTCAGTGGGTCTGTCTGTCTGTCTGTTACTCTCAATCTCACTTCTCGGGTGTCTGTTCGTCCCAGAAACGATACCATCTACCTAACGGGCGACGAAGGTCAGAAAATATATGGGATTTTCTCTGAAAATGCTCTGTTGCAGAGCTAGAGCGCTTCCAGCATTGTATGGCTAATGCTGGTAGTCGCCATTTTATCGCTAGCGGATAATGCGCATGCGCTTATATTTACACAGGTACGTTATACACCTCGACCGGGTCCGCTTGCTCTGTCTATCTTGAAGGCACAAGAAGTCACAACGAATGGCGTGTATCGACTCTCGCGTGCTATCTACTACTGTAGCTAGCCCGTGTCAAACTCTCTGCGAGCTACTTCGCCGAGGGTTTGCACTTTAGTGCTTTTCATTCTCTCTGTCAGTGTGTGTGTGTTTGTCGACGCTTATTCTGGCACTACAGGCTACGAAGCAGGCCCATTAGCGATAGCAGCAGCTTCAGAATTACACGAGCCTGAAAAATAAAAGGGTGATTTTCCTGAAACGACTGCGTTCGAGAGCGACAAACTGGCACAGTCGCGGACCGTGTTCCGATCAATAAGCGGTGCGCATGCGTATATTAGACGCGCTCACCCCGACCTGATCCGCTTGCTCTGTGTATATACCGGCACAAGAAACCACAGCGAAGGGCGTGTATCTACTCCCGCATGCTATCTACTACCGTTTCAGACTCAGCGAGCTACTAGCGGAAGACTGCGGGTCTGTCCAACCGCGCATGCGCAGTTCGCCGAGGGTTTGCACTTCAGTGCTTATTTCAACCGGAGACCTTTCTTTCCTGCAGGTTTTCTCAAGACAGAGTGGTCCTGGAAGATATACCAATTTCGAGAGCTAATCTATAGTCACTACTCTTCAGAATGAGCTACATTTCCGCCCATCTCAGCCGGCTAAGAACCGGACACGACTACTTTTATTCACCGTCCCCATGTTACGTTTTCGAGATAAATTTTGGAAACCTTGCTTCATAAAAATGCTTTTTCCTTGGTCGTGCTTCAAAATTTTCTCGGTGCTCAATCGGATAATTGTAGAAGAAGACCTCAAAGATTGCTTTGGGCAGGGGTTAGTTATAATATTATAGACAAAGTTTATCGGCCAAAACGGGTCAAAAAGAGCCAGAGAAAATGGGCAAAATGGTAAATATTCGGAGCGCGCAGTGCAGACGTCGACCGAGTAAAGTTGTAGGACTCGATCAACTGTAGGACGTTTCTTTGGACGCTCTATATGCCAATAAACTTTGAATAGCCAGCTACAACAGACATCCCAACCCAGCCGCGACGAGCTACCGGGCGGTGGCCGTCAAAATCCGAGTTTCCACAGTAGTATAAAGCTAGCAAGGCTAGCTATCCCTCCACTGCCAGTACCTGCCCTGCCTGGACTAATAATTTCGGGCGTTACGCCTCGTAGAGCCGAAGTTCGTGGCAGGTTGGCCCAGCCCATGAAAAATGTTACGCAAAGGTCGGTGTATATTTGCGGCGTAAACAATGGCGGGAGTTGCGGGTGCTGAGACGGCTGGCGTTAAGTGCAGAGAGTGGAGGATCAGGAGAGAGAGACTAAGCAGCAGCTGGAGGAGCAGAAGAGGGAGACAGAGCAGGAGAGAAGAGAGAGAGAATCTGTGACTGAGGTACTTGATGCTGCGCAAAACAAAGGAAGGAAACTGGAGGACGTGAGTAGGAGAAAAAATCTGTGGACTTAAGCAGAGCCTCATGTACATTCTTTAGGTAGGGGAAAGACAGAAAAGGAGGAAGATATCCCAGTTGAAGAGCTACACTAAGCTTGCTCTGAAACCTCTGGAGAGTTACGGCCTTACGCTGCACAGTGTCACTGCAGTCACAGACAAAGGATGCTCTTTGTCTCTTGATCTGTCTCCAGGAACTTCCTCAGCACCAACACCATCACCTTCTGTCGCTGCACAGGGGAACACAAGAACAGCTCTCTTCCTCCTTGACAGATTTGCAGTGTCTGATGAGTTTTACCATGAACTTGCTCAGGTAAACACAAAGAGTATATACGTATGTAGTCCTGACTTAGTACATCACTTACGTGTACACAAACTCAACATAGACTTTCCCAGAGATGCCCCGCCTACACCACATCAAAAGGCTCCGCAGCTCTCTCAACAGTGAGATCGAGATCCTGAGTCTCCCTCCTCCATATGTAGGACGCTACATGAGACTCAGAAAGCTTTGAAAGCCTGTGGAGATTACTCTCTCTCTGACATTGAGAAAACTGACATTCATACACTGGTGTCTGTGACGGTCAAAGTGATGATGTGCGAAAAACCCAGTACTCTTGGGTCCAAGACCAAGCAAAATGTTGTTGTGAGTGATCATGTTTGGTCAAAGGCACAGCATGTGGAAATCTAGACCGATGTGAGCTGGTTTGAATTGGCATACAACACAGCTACTACACTAGAATACAGATACCGGGACTGGATACATAAGTGGGATGAATTTGGCAACATAAAAGGGGTGAAGCAAAACAAAAAGTGCAAAAGGCAGAGGAAGAGTGAAGAAATGCAATAATGCAATAGTATACAATACAAGGCAAGGCAAAGTGATATGGGGTCACAACTTAAAACAAAAGAAGTGTAAAATGCAGGCAGTAATGAAAAATTATACAATGCAAAGCAAAGCTATAATAGTATTATGAGAAATTGACAATAAGAATTGACTTGAGTGGTGATATAAGTTCATGATATGAGTTGGTGAAACATACAATGTGATTTTGCAGTATTAGCAATTTTGCGGTGTTGGCAGTTTTGCAGTGTTTGCGGTTCTGGCAGTTTTGTGACATATTACTACAGCTAGTTACTGGAATTTGTGGTATTTACAGTAAACATTGTTGAGGATTAATCATCTAAGTCATTGCACTTTTGTTTCTACTGTTGTCAGCTCTGATGTCAATCTTACATGTTGGCCTATCTTCAGCAGGCCATACACGTGGCAACCTGTAGCTTAACCAAGTGCAGCACTACAATGGTATGGAGGGGCCAGGCAAGTAGTTACCGGAAATAGAGTAGCCCGGCCCCTCCATACCAATACTGCTGCAACTTTGGTTGAAGCAACGAAGTTTTGCCGCATGTATGGCCTGCTTTAGAATGAAATACTGCAATAGACTGTGTCATGATCTGAATAGTATGTATCTTTGATGTAAACAACAGTATATAGTGTCATGTGAATTGTGATTTTTATAGTACATATGGTCTATAAGTGTCTCTTGGGGTGTTGTTGGTACTTGCACTAACTGTCTGTAACTGAAATTGGACATAAGCTTAAGAGCTGCTGAGTTTGTCTGGTGTAAAATATCTTCATCAAAATCTCCAACTACTACTGCTCTGACTTTACATGAGACATACTGGTCAATAAAGTCACACACATCACCACTCTTATCTACCCCAAACTCTGGAGCATCTTTGACCCATATGACACAGTGTGCATGTGGAGAACCTCTGGCCTGAAACTCTATTCTGATGGCATAGTCGACTATTTCACCTAGGGGTTAGGCAGTTGATTTCAAAAAGTCTTGGAAAAACATGTTTAGCCTGTAATGAAAATGCCTCGCTGCAGTAACAGGGTTACGCTTTAGCCAATTAGATTTCTCATCAAATGACAATGCTGCAACCTCATCATCAGTGTAATGGACATCATACTGTTTAGCAATGGTTTGGATCATATCAGGCCACTTGGTCTGCTGCTGACAATGTGAAAAATCATGTTGGTGTGCCAAGCTGGCGTATCATGGCTTAAAACGTACGCTGGTAATGTGGTGGGGAACCACAAATATTTTTTCATAAAGGAATAGGCCCTGTTTTTCCTCAGTTACTGACTCAACACAGTCTGATCCCTAGCTTGTGCTGCAGTGAACTGTCTAGAGGGCTTTTGTTTCCACGCAAAGTTATTACCATCATCGAACACTTGCTTGGCTTCTACAATGTACTGGGCAAGAAATAGATAATCAACGTCTCTAGCAAATCTTCCATCAACATTCAACAGTCTCTGATTGTAATATTTTCTGTATAAAGGTTACTTTTTTAGGCCTTTTACTGCTGAATGTGCCATTAGAAAAGGGGAACTTATCAGGATTAGACATGGCTTCAAAGTTAGAGTCTGTCATGATATTATTGAGTGGTTTCTCTCCCTCAGCTAGTGCTGCACAAATGATTTCGCTAGAACTCTCAGGATTGTCAACACACACCATGCATGCTGGCCATAGGAGCACCACTGATCTGCCTTCTATGCTCATCTCCCTCTTCCACTGTTGCATCATCTAGGCTTTCATCCGATACTGGGGTATTCTCAGTATTTTGAATACTCCGTTGTACACTGGAACCACAAACAGGTATATACCTTGTCTAGAGCCACATAGTGACACTGCAAGATAGGGCCCACAAAATCTCACACTCAGCACTACAGATGCCAGGGGTCACTGAAAACGTATGATGATTGTAGATAAAACACTGATTTTGACACCGAGCATATTGTATATATTCCCCCAGAGAGCCTAAGGTAGGTGATTGTCAATACAATTCTGTAAGTGGTGGACTTTATATACATATAAAAGGGGCTGTAACATTGGGGGATTTGGGGTGCCATACAAAGATCTTTCAACCCACCATCCCCAGCTCTCAAGGCTGGGCATCTGTGTCCCACTCTTGAGCTTGTATGTGTAGTACACATGTATTCTGTTCCTCTCTAACGTTAGCCCCTTGTTTAGCTGTATACTATGTCCCTTACTATTACTACAAGTTAGTCACACAGAAACCCTAAGAGTAGAATAATGGCCCAATAATACACTTCTCCTAATAGAAAGAGGTGGGTCAGAGGTGTGTCAACAGTGACGCATACACTTCGGACCACTAGGCAGCCATATGTGGTGAGGTTGGCACACGCCTCCCAAACTCTAGGACTATCCTTCCCCCAATACCCAACACACACACGTACTGTAACAGTACTTGCACATGCACGTTAAGAGTTAATTTACATGGTGGTTGTATGAGCATCTACCTCTGTGGCAAGCGCATCTAGCATGCAAATCACTGATATCATGGTGTAGCAAAATATAACGTAGAGTACAGTTTGTATATATACCAACTACGCTGACATACAAAAATCAGTAACAACACAGTAGGGGAATAGACAATTAAGCAAGTCTGGTATGTAGTATAGAAAAGAGATAAGGTACAGTGTTATGTAGAGTGTTGTTTCTTTTAAATTTTTTACTCCTGTAAAAGACAAGATGCTATGTAGTATAGAACTAGGCTACAGTGTTAGAAGAAGTAGAGTCGAGAGACGTAGAGTAGTTTAAACTTTGTACTGCTGTAGAAGTTTGACTATTTGCTGATGACCTTCAGCTCTCGCGAAACTCATGGCTGTACGTCCATCCTGAGAGGTGAGGGAAAATTACACTCATTGACTAAATGAGAGACAGTCACACATTATTGCAGCACTAAACCCTCGATGCAAATGGGTGCTGACGTCAGCAGCCTAGCCTGCAGTAGGTGCACTCTACACATGTGCCGAGAGAGAGCACTGCTAATTGATGGGCGTGGCCATGCTGAGTAGGCACACAGCAGAGTCACACACAACCACATGACAATCCTTCTAATATTATGTTCAGCACTCAAACAAAGATGTGACTATTAAAGTTGGTAAGCCTTTTTTACATTATGAGGTAGATCTTTAGCTCCAGATTCTAGCAGGAGTCCAACTACTTCCAGGTGTCCATTGTAACTGGCTGCAATGAGTGGAGTTGCTCCATCCTAAAGAGAAGAAGATGGAAGACATTAAACATCCATCTCCATAATACACCATAAAAAGTATTTGATTTGACGTGACAGTGCACATGATGGGGACACTCAGATCTGCTCATGGTGACAGGTGGAGCAGTGAGTTGGTGTAGCAAGACCAGTTCTGGCTCTCTGACTGATTAACGAAACAGTTCAGATGTTGCAGGAAATACAGAGGTATATACTGGCATACAGCCAATGCAGTGCGACCCTGTCTGTCTCAGAGAGTCTGCACATATTAATTCTCACCCTGTACTTTTCTCTCCCAGTCAGTGTTTGTATACCACTATTGTGATACTCCAGTGCCTTAGTGGTAGTCAGAACCTACAGCTGAGGTCCAGACTGTGACTGTCCCACTAGTGTCCACTGGAGACTCCAGACAACTCTGTACAGCTACATTTGCCAATGTCGTTGTTTAAGACATGATGGTCCTCACAGTAGGAACACTCAAGGCCCAGGGCACATTGCCCGAAATTGTCAGGCAGCAGCCGAATCAACGGCAAGGCCGCAGGGAAATGGCAGCCCTTCAGCGTAGAGAGCCCGTCACCGGAGGGACTCATAGCAACGGCTCATTCTATTAGAGTTAATCTATGTCCTGTCTCCCCTGTAGGAAGATACAACCTCTCCGGCCGAATTAGTGACGTCAACCTCACGTTTTTGCTGGACACAGGGGCAGCAGTCACCCTGCTCCGGAAAGAAGCATGGGAGAGGATCCTCAAAAACTCCCCCATCAAGGCTCCCGACCTGATACCCAACCAAAGTTTGGAGTTGGTGGTTGCAGACGGCTCCGTTCTCAAGACCCACGGCACCATGTTGCTGACCCTACAGCTCAATAGAATCAACATACCCGTATATGTGGCTGTTGCTAGTCCTCTCACCACAGAAGGAGTATACTAGGGCTGGACTTCCTTAAGAGCCTCCATCGACCTACAAACTGAGGAGTTACTCTTACGGGCTGAGGGAATTACCCTACCTTTGCAACAATCTACCCAGTTATCAAGTTGTACGGTGCACATTAAAGTGAAAGTACAAAGGAACATTTCAGTTCCAGCCTACAGTGAGCTAGAGGTGATGGCCCATCTGGAGGATCCAGTAGTGCCAGGCCAAACTTGGGCACTCGAAAATAATCTCCAGAAGCCTGTCTGTGTGATTTCAGCCAGTGCCTGGTCTGCCCCATTTCAGAAGAGGTCCCAGTGAGAATCATGAATACCACATTTGAACCCCCACTTATCTACGCTGGTAAACAAGTGGCAATTCTGGAACACACCGAACCAGGATTCGTGTACCCAGTGGAGTTTCGCCCGGCTGATCACGTCAACCAGGAGGTCAGTGAGACAGCGTGGCTGGTGGTCAGACTCATGTAGCTTATGTAGTCCGTCAGGTTACACATGTA